TATGGCATGGGTAGAGGAGAGCACTGAACATTTTCAACTTTGTTTTGATTCCCTCTGTAGAAACGACATGATTGCAGTAGGATGTTTTAGAGAGCAGCCACATGTTTTCCAGTGTAGCCCTTATCAAATTATTTGGACTAGTTTTTAAGATCTGCCGAGCAGTTTCACTTCTGATTAGATCACGTTAACTCCGTATGGCACGACCAGCAGTCTGTGGGTTTTCATTTGTTTGCTTAAGCCTTAGTTAAGGGGAGTTGCATCTTTAAATACCATACAGAAAGAATGGAAGAGCTCCGGAGAAGGGAAAGCACAGCTGTTCCATCCTGGCCCGTTGTGGCTCCCATGTGTCCCACAGGCAATATCTGTCTTAAACTCATCTAATAAAATTACCTAATTCCTTATGCTCACAATCTAGTAGCGAGCGTCTTGGAGCTCTCTTCTGCTTTCCTGCCCACCTTTGCCGTAGCTTGCCCTGGCCTCATCTGTTCCAACTCCAGTGTGGCTGTTGCTCCGGTTTCTCAGCAGGTGGGTGTAGCTTTCAATTCAAGCATCAGCAAAACTAACCAAATCACTTGCCAAGTTCTTGGTTCCCTCATGCCCCCTGAAAGCTACTGAGTTACCTTAAAGCTCTGTGAAACGGCACCTTAGACTTCCACCTAATAGTATGGCCTCTTTCACTCCCGAGAATTCAAAAACCCCACTCGCGTTCCACGGGATTGAGTCCCCCCCCTGGTCTTTTCTACGCACAAACATACTGTAACTGTAACATTAAAGTTTCCCTGGATTGTTATGAAGTATTTAAATGTCAGTGCCATTTCTGAGACCATCAGGGCAGATTTAATGGTGGCCAAGGTCAACAAAATGCTAACTGAGACCTCTCTTTTAGGGCCTTGAGGGGCTCTTAATAGAGTCTCAGCCATGCCATTAATTTGCAGCTTGGGCCTTTATCTTTCAATCTCCTCCTGACAATTATTTTGTTCCATCTCTGTTCGTAAGCTTAGCTTTCTTATACTGTCTCTTTAGTCAATGAAACAAATGGCTATACATTATATGCTTGTGGCAGTAGGGGGCTGGGGGGATTTCTTATTTTCCCTCCACCTTTCTGTTTCTCTTTAAGGACTGAAGGAGGTTCAGTACAGCACTCTCTGGAGCCCATTAAAACTTGCATGCTTTATATAAGATCCCTTAAGAACCTCTTCGTGTCCTCCCAGCACCTGTGGTCCAGCGGGTTTGGGAGTCAAGTTGATTTGTAGTCCTTTTTTCTTGTAGGTCCTTAAACACTATTCTTAGTTTCATAGTTTCTAGGGTCGGAAGAGACCTGAGCAGATCATTGAGTCTGACCCCCTGCCATGGCAGGAAAGAGTACTGGGGTCAAACGACCCCAGCAAGGTGTTCATCTAACCTCCTCTTAAAGCCCCCAAGGGTCGGAGCCAGCACCACTTCTCTTGGAAGTTGGATCCAGATCCTAGCCACCCTGATCATGAAGTAGTGTGTGATATCTAGCCTAAATCTACCCTCTGCCAGCTTGTGTCCATTATTCCTGGTCACTCCTGGCGGTGCTCGGGGGAACAGGGACTCCCCTAATGCCTGCTGATCCCCCCTGACTAGTTTATAACAGGCCACAAGATCCCCCCTCAGCCTTCTCTTTTGGAGGCTGAACAGGTTCA